TTACAGGAATGGATACGATACGGGAACATATAATTCGAAAACAAACATTATCTGAATTATTTCTCATAAAAAAACAAAACATGATTAGATATAATTGTTATGAGACACGGTCATAGAGTTAAATTCACTTTCAACTTTCAAATATAAAACTACGAGTACGATACGGAGATATGTAATTTAAATTGCTAAATTTAATTTACACTTTCCTATTTATTTCAAATATTTAGACATGAAATGATAGGTACAAGAAGATAACGTATACTTCGGATAACAAAACTACAATAAATCCATGTATTAAAAAATAGAAATACCTAAATCTTTAGAAAACAAAAAGGGTATAACATGAATCTTTGAATTGAAGAAAGTAGTGAGAAATAAAGATGAAACTGAAAGATCAATAAAATTAAAAATCAAACAAGGAATATTTAAACTAGGAATACGGGTATCCCGTCTACATCTTTTACCAAGTTTCTTATAATAACCATTGGCGAATGATTATGTTTTAAAAAGAAACGATTACGGGACAGAAATTTTATGACAGACAGAAGACGGGACGGGAAGGGGCGGGGTGGGACGGGACGGTCAGGACGAGACAGAAAGGGACATGACGGGTTTTCCATTCTAAACTACACATAAAACAATTCAAATTAAAGCCAAACTCAAATCCAATTTAACATCTTTACGCAAACAGTTAGAAATGTTTTGATTAATTTAAAAAATAAACAAGTAATATCACTTATCATTGTTATTTAAATTATTTTAAATTTTTATTATGTAATACAATATCTATATTTTACAACTATATGTCTATATATAGTTTATCAAATAAACTCATATAAGAAAATTTTACCAAAATAGCATCTACATAAAAAATCGTAATTTTGAAAAAAATAACCCCGCACGTACGTGCGGGTCCATCACTAGTTTATAATTATTTTGTTTTCTTTTGCCATCAGAATTATCGAAACTCATGAACCAATATATGTGGTTTTCGTTTATGAGATCCAGCCATGTGAGTATGTGACTATGTGAGGATCCACCACTCTGTATTAAATGTATAAAAGTATAAACTTAAAAAAGTATGAACACTATAAAATATCATTGCTATAATGAAAAGGTCCTACCTTATTATATTTGGTAAAGATTTCACTAATCATAACGTTTATTAGTTGTGAAGAACATGAAAAAAAAAATAAACTATAGCATTCAGTATTTATCTATTAGATTCATCACAAGAAGAAACTTAATAATGTTTAGATTAAATCTCAAAGACAACAAAGAACAGAACTTTTATTCGATCGAATCATTTTTCATTATTTCCATCACACGTTCAAAAGACGACAAAGAACAAGTCTCCAGGTTACAAAGTGTACAAATCTCAGACAATCCAAGAGAGAGTCTTCCGGATCTCAGACCCGACCCGACCGACACTTTCCCTAAGTGAAACCTTAGGGCAGTTGTTTCTAACAGCAGAGAGCTCATAGGGTGACACATCGGTCGCAAGCCATTGCTCAACATCGAAGCTTTGGTACGAGCACTTAGCGTGAACTCCGGCCGTCGTGACTTCCACGTAGTTAGCATACCAGCCGTGGTGGTCACCGGAGCCGTCAGAGGTAAGGTTCAAGGAACAGACTGGGCTCGGGAGACACGGTGCTTTGCCACTGAAGATGTCGAGATTACCCCTCTCGTAGTAGTTGTAACCTGGTCCCATTAAACCACCCCATGCTTCTAGGTTTCTGATCCCAATGTAGTCTCCGTATTTGTCGTAGACTCTAGCGCTTATGATCGAGTCTGTACCGGCTTTGAAGGTTGATCCGGTTCTGACGTAGAATGTGTATACACAATCTGCTTCATCCTCCTTTGAAAATCAAGAAAATCAAGAAAATTCAGAAAATTCAAGAAACCCAAGAAAATCAAGAAAATTCAAGAAAATCAAGAAAATGATTTTTGTTTTTTTCTTGAAATGGGAGGAAACATAAGCTTGTAGGTCTCATATAGCTTAAACTAATGTTGTGTCCAAATCTGGTAATGTGTGTTATGTAAGTTATATAGACGAAAGTAATATTTATGATGATGATGATGATGAGATATGGGGAACTTACGGCGAATGCGACGGCAGAGATGGTGGCGACAACTAGGAGGAGTGAGAGGAAGAGAACGTCACGGCGAGGCATCATCGGTGATGTGAATATGTAAGAAAGAGAGAGAGATCTAGTCTTGTGGATATATTAATGGATTTGTTGCAAAGACTTTAGATTTCAATAGGGAGTAGTCATCCTCTGCGATTCGGATCAGCGTGTGAAGATGACGTGGTAGTTTTTAGTCCGTTGTGATGAAAGAAAGATAGTACTATATTATTTATGGATCCTATTAAGCACGTCGTTAAACTCGACCAAACAGGTCGGCATGAGGTGTCAGATTTTGAAATATTGCATTTTTTGTGTTTGGTGTCGCAATTATTTTTCTGTGATACAAATGCACTTCATTTTTTTCGTAGTTTCAAAAGAATGTATGTAATTTCTCAATTATTATGTCGGGCAGCCAAATACTCGGGTCGGGTTCGGAAAAGAATCGATCGTATACAAATTTAGTTTTCGTTCGGATTATTTCGGGTTTGGATCCTTGACCAATTCCTAAACACAACATGTTTCACGTGGATTGGGGTAAGGGAATAATTAACTAGAAAAACGTTAATATTGTTTTTTGCTTATTGTGGAAACTATTGTATGAAATGGTAGACCATATTAAGTCATGAAGATAAGATTTTCTTGATACTTTTTTTTCGTGTATACATCAGTTTATTTTAGAAAGGAAATATTGTGTATTTTTTTTTTAAAGGAATTAATTTTGCAAAGTATTAATTGTCACCGAAGCAGAAGCAAGGTCCACAAACATAATTTTCAATGGCCGGTTGCTGCGGTTTGATATTTTTATAGGTATTGCCGTATTGGAATACATTTATATCTGTCTAATATTCATATAAAATATATATACATTTCTAATAAGATGCAAGAGAATCGAGGTAAGAAACATTATGTCCAGCTAATTTATTAAGATATGTGGAGTAATATATACCACCATAAAGAAAAGTTCTACATGTACTTCAAAATTAGACAACGTCAAAAATACAAAATAAGGTAACTAAAATAAAGAGACCATTTCATAATATATTTTTTTGTTTCTTTAAATTTAAAATTTGGTTTGTAATTTCAAAAAACAAAACATAAACTGTGGCATTGGTGAGCTAGGTTGATGGTGGGGAAATTTTCAAGATACTATAATATATTTGGTTTTTTAAGCTAATGTACAACAAAATTAAATTATAAGAATTCTTAGAATATATACACATATTGTGAGTTTATGAACCATTCTTAAAATTTTAGGGTGATGGTCCAAGTGATTAATAAACTCTTTGGTAAACATTTGAAAGTTGTACTTTGGGAACGAAAAATTGTTTAATGGTATTTTAATTAGGATATTTCTCGTATATTAATATAGTAATTAATATAATTGGTGATATAACAAATTTTTAAAAAATTATCAAATTTCTAAGATTTTTTACTCATGTATGCAAATACTTTATGTTCGAAAAATGTTATGTATATGGTAAATAAAGAGTATATAACATCAGCATTGATGATCATCAACCACAATCAAACTACATTATTTGATATTTGCAATGTGGTTTTGAAAATAACAGAAGAAGGAACAATACATGGTGAGTTGGCTAACTCTAAATAGCAAAAACTTCTCCAAACCAACCAAAAGTTTGAGTCTCATGCAACAACAACCACTTACTTTTCCCATGCAAACCCTAATTTTCGCATCCTCTCATAATTCTCTCTCATTCGTCTTCCCTCTAGACAAATCTCCACCGCACATCTCGTAACTCCCACCTTTTTCCGATGGAGGGGCCACGGCTTCCTCCTTCCGCCACCGCCACTGCCACCACCCCTGAATCCGATGATGACAAGCCCGATGATCCTCCTTCCGTCTGGCACCGTCCAACCTCCAGCCTCCCTTCATTGCCCTCTCAAGATCCTCCATCACAACATTGGCGTAATCATTCTCTTAATCTCTCTCCATTACCGACCACAACTCCCTCGCCTCTTCTTCATCCGGATTCAATCCCTGAGCTAGAGACGTACGTTGTCCAAGTCCCGAGAGATCAAGTCTATTGGACCCCTCCTCCGGAAAACGCAAAATATATCGAAAAACGAAGCAATAACCCGGAGAAAAACAAAAAGAAAGGGTGTTCTAAACGTCTTATGTGGTTCTTCATCATCTTGGTTGTTTTCGGATTCATCCTCGGTGCAATCACTCTCATCCTCCATCTTGCATTTAAGCCTACTCTTCCTGTTTTCGCGGTCGAGGGAGTAACCGTAAAGCCTAGTACTTTCGAGGTGACAATGAGAGCCGATAATCCAACGTCTAACATGGGGGTACGCTATGTGATGAAAAAGAACGGGGTCGTTTCCTTAACGTACAAGAACAAGAGCCTCGGAACCGGAAAATTTCCGGGGTTGTCCCAAGCCGCATCTGGATCCGACAAGGTTAATGTGAAGCTTAATGGTTCGACCAAGAACGCAGTTGTACAACCTCGTGGCTCGAAACAACCATTGGCTATGATGCTGACGATGGAGCTGAAGGCTGAGTATGAAGCAGGGCCGATCAAACGGAACAAGGAAGTGTCGGTGAGTTGTGATGTTAAGGTTAAGGGATTATTAGATGGGAAGAAGGTTGAGATTGTGTCGGAGAATTGCGAGAGTGAGTTCAAGAACTGACACTTGCTCTATATATAATTTTTTATACATAATATGATTGTGTCGTTAGAGTTACAATGTGCTTAATTCATTTATACTTTCTATGTAACGTTCAATTGTTCATTTTTTTCTTCTTCCTAATGTCTTTGTTTCTACTTTATATTGTTAAGCGACTAAAGAAAAAGAAAAAAAACAAGAACACAATAGACAGCGCCTTATTTTTTTTTGGTTTTTTGGAATGTATCTTTGCTTTAGAGTTTACATATAAATTTAGGTTTGTGTTTATCCACATGATGGTATCAGAACTGCTTCTCAAATTCAGAACTCAGAAGAAAGAAATAATAGCTTTCTTTTCCCTTACTTGGGCGCATAATGTCTATATAATTGGGCCTGCCCTGAACGTAAAAGTAAAGTCCAACTTATGAAACTTTTCAAATACCAAAAACGTTTCAACTTGTGTACAAGTATTTGTACGTTCATATTCCAAAAATATGATGGGATCATTCTAGCTAGAGTGATATTTTCAACCATCGATTACCATATATTGTTAGAGTGAAAACTTAGAGATGATTCATGATTGTATTTCTTTTAAACAAACTAAACACACGCACAAGTTTATTTAAAATTTCATTTCAAATCTACTAATCTAGTAATCCAAACATGAGAAGTGTAACTTAGTTGAGAAGGCCCAAATGAGGATTAGCTTTCTGATACGTACACTATTAATCCTTCTTATGAATGATTTATCTAGTCTCAGTGATCTATTAGTTTATTTTTTTGTTGGAAATTCGGAATGTGAAATTTACTATTCAACTAAAATATACTTGTTGATAAAATTCAGAGCCATTTATTTACTTAATTAACTAGCTAGCGATAAGTTAGTTATCGAGTTTGGATCTAAGATCGATGGACATTAACGGATTATTGTGGTACACTTGAACAATACTACAAATTATGGTTCTGTTGTTGCAAACATAACATATGTTAACTGTTAGATGGCACCATGCACATGCTATATATTGTTTATATAATATAATTTAGTACATATGCATTGGTGGTCATGTCATGACATATTATTTGATTTCGGTAAGGATCTTTTTTCTATTTACTATTATGGAACTTGCTAAATATAAAAGAAAATTATCAGAAAAATACATGCACTTATATCGAAGTTCTATAATAGCAAACAATTAGTGAAAATGCTATATTTAAAAACAAGATTTAATTGTTTCTGTATATAGGTAAAATTAAAAACCATTTACGTCGTCAAACCAAGAAAAGAAACAAAAAAGAAAAATCTTATCAAATTAGAATACTGAATTCCCCTTGTAACAAATCATTTTTATGACGCGAAAGAGAAAACAATTTCATTTTTGTGTGGTTCTAGTCTCTTGTCTATAGCTGAATTGTGCTTTTAAATAAAAATCTATGACGAAAAAAATGCAAACAAAAGATTCTTTGATTTTTAAATTTCACCGCACATTTCAAAATGCAAGATTCCTTTTCTATTAATTTTGAGTGAGCTAGTGTTTATTTAAATATACTTGATTTTTAATTAAAATAATCGAAAATGCATAAAGAATCAATTAAATTAGCCACTAGTATCTACCAAGAAAAGGTTGAGTGGTCATTTTCACGAAACCAAAGTGGAGAAACAATAATTGTGTATAAAGATATTCCACTAGAAAGTGAAACAAATAGGTCCAATTATTTATTTAGGGCACCTTTCGACCATCTTCACATTCTTAATTATGATACCATTATTGTTACCCATTTTGAATTATATATATTTTTGAGGAATATAAAATGATGAGTTTATAATTGGACAATTTTTATATAAGCGGTTTCTTCTATTTGACAATTTTTTATATATTTAATGTATTAATAGACCAAAATTTAATAAACCATGTATTTTATTTCCAATCAAATAATATTGGGTATTAAACTTCTAAATTAAAATTAGATGGGGAATTTTTATGGAATTTTTCCGTTTATAATTCTGTCTTGATTTTCACATGAAATTATCATTACATGATCAAAGGTAATACAGATAAGTGAAAATGTTTAGAATATAAAAAATTATTATCCAAAATATAATATAGAGATAGAGATAATGAGGCTTCAACTAGAATATGAAAATAGGATAAATTTAAATTCTCATTCAACTAATTATATGCATATTTTCTAATTTTATACATTTTGAAAAATTTGAGTATCTTAAAACCTTTACATATGATTTTAAATAACTTTACAATCTTCTTTATCGAACGGGTAAATTATCAACCCAACCAATTATTCAAATCATAAACATACTAAATATAGATTATCTTAATTCAAACATATGTCTTTTCTTAATATATCCTACTTGGAAAAATCATGCATATTGGATCATGTACAAGGAGGATCAGGTGATCTGACCCAAAATGCAGACCCAATGTGATTGTAATTAATCTTATTTTTTCATTTTTTCTGTGCACCCCAAATTAATCTTGATTAAAACCTGAAATTGTTGTATAGTCCCTAGACCCTAGCCATTAGCATAAAACAAAAATAAATGCTACAATGTGGTGGAGTAAACAAAAATTGAATTAGAGGAAAATGTACATATGTTTAGTCAGAGAAAAATTATAAACTTATAAACTTATTTGACAAATCGTCGAAAAAATAAAGTCGACAAAAAAAAAAAAAAAATAAACTTATTTGACATAATATGGTTGTTGGATCGCACGCCTATGCCTATCTTTTTCGTGTTTTCTCTACCTTTCCTTATTAAAAAGAAAATTTTCCTTTTTTGTTACTTTCAATTTTGTTTTATTTTGGTGTTTGATGATTAAAATTGACCATCCACTCAAAAGAAAGACATTTAGATTTTGCAGAAAATAATTTAACTTTTTCTATAAGAAAATCACATCTTTTGACGTGTCAGGAGAAGATGATTATTCAAGTAAAGCGATTGGTGATCTATGTTTTGCTCCCTATTATTTGGGCATCTGAGTCACATGCAAAAAAATGTTACCAAACAGTTTGGAGAAAACATCTTACAGATCAAGACATATACATTTACTACGAGAAACATATATTTTCATCCTAATTTAAATATAGTTTTAGGTTTTTTCTTTCTTTTTCTCAGCAATATGTTTCCATATCTATATTATTAAAAGGGAAACATTCCTCAATAACGCAATTTATATTAATTCTTTTCCAAAATCAACTCATATCAAATATATTCCAAAATTATAGGAATGAACTAACTAATCAATCCCGAGCAATATAAAAAGGTGTACAGAAAATCAATTTAGTTATATGTAACAAAAAAAAAAAAGGATAGTTTTAACAAGAAAACAATAAATCACGAAAGAAAAATAAAAATCAAAATCAAAAAATCAAAAGTTATAGATAACCAAAAATTTTGAATTCACGAAATAAAAATAAAGAAATCATAAAATCAAAAAATATATTCACGAAAACAACCATGATCCCTTACGTGAGTTATGTCCACCAAAATATATTCTGATGCAAAAAATATAGATGATATTAATAAACATAATAATTTATTAAAACAACCATGATCCCTTAATAAATTTGAATTTGTGAATATACCAATATGATGAAATTGAAAACAACCATGATCTCTTAATAAATTTGATTTCGTGAATATACCAAAATTATGCCAAAAAATCAAAACTACTCAATAAAAATTTTGGAGTTTTACTAAATTATGAAAATATTAAACACAAATAATAAATCAAACGCTACTATACAGAATATTGAATATAAATACACTACTTGACATCTTAAGTCATTTGGTAAAGCATTCTTATTATAACTTAATCATGTCATATGATAAATGTGTTTAGATCGGTTTCTCTCTTTTGCGTATATATATGTATGATATAGTCTTTTGTATATTGCAATCATAGTTGTGGTAACAATCTCTAAGATTTTGAAGAATGGGCTCACAACAAAGAAGAGTAGAGAAGAGTAAACCTAGCTATCTTTCTTCTACTATCTGTAAATCATTATCTTTTTTTTTTTAATTCAAGAATTTTTTTTGTCTTTGTTCTCTGTTAAATAACATATGGAGGTGTTAACGAAAGATGAGAGAAAAAGAAGAATGGTTCAAAAGGTAAAGGGAAGTTTTCTTATTTTAATGTGAGCTTTATTAACTACATCCTCTTATTTACATCATTTTGGGTGTGAAATTGTTGCAGACTGAGATAATGTTGTGAAATCATACAAAATTGACTTTGTCTTTCCACCAAAAACCAACGACAATACTCTTAGAGGCGAATGCATGCATACAAGTTTGACTTCTCGAAGAACAAGAAGTTAATGCCAACGAGAGACACCACTGAAGAAGAAGGAACAATATCTCCTTTATTATAATATATGCTTGATTTGTTTTGTTTTGTTTGTAACATCAAAACATAATATATGATAGTAATTGTTTGTTTAGCAAGAAATAGTATTTTTCACTTCTGCTTCCATTTAGTATATTGAACAATATAGATATGAACAATATATGATTCAGCAAATTGAAGCTAAAATCTTGGTAAATAAAAAAATAGAGTATATTATTAGTATTTGGATTGTATGTATATAGAGATATGAGGAAACATTGAACAAAACATTTTAGTCCGATCTCATCTCTTTTTATATTAATATTAGAATTCTGATCACATATGTTTTAGACTTTCTTGGGTTTTTGCTGTTTCTCTTGAAATCTGATTTGATTATGTGATTTCAGTGTGATATTAACTCAAACAAAATTACACTACTTAGCATAGGGTACAGAGACAGCTTTTGCTCAATGATTTTTTGATTTCAAACGTTTTATAAATTATAAGTTGCCATTGGATTTACGGAGACAAACATACTTTCTTCAATGTTAAATCTTTTGTACTCCTCAATTGCCAATTCACAAAACATAAAAAAAGGAAACAAACCCATCGAACTATGCTTTTGAAAATACACCCGCACGTATGTGCGGGCCATCATCTAGTATTTAATAAATTTCCCCAAAAAAATGTTATAACAAACAATTCTCACCCGTACAGCAATGGTTTATTGGTAAAGAATAACTAGCCAAATATTAAAAAAAACTAACCCAAATTTGATTCACCCTAAAAACAAAAGTTATTAGAGCAAATGCATCGGTTGGACTGCATTTGGTCCCA